CTGCAATAGTCATAAGTGTGGGCTAGTCACGAAGTGACCTAATTTTGATCACGTGACTGTAGGAACACTGCAATGGCCATAACTTTGAGGACCCATCATAAGTCATTTTTTTTCAGTTCCATCTTCACTTTTAACAGACTTTGAGCAAATGAACATAATCCAAGGACTACTTGTATGTTTTGGGATTGACTACACATATAAATTCAAGAATCATAGAACAACATTTTTGGACTGGGAAAACCATCAAATAATGCTGCTTTTATATTTGCATTGTCATACTGGAAGAAAATCGCTTTGATGATTGTTGTATATATGAATTTGAGTTCTTGGTCAATAATAATATTAATAATAATAATAATAATGTTGGAAGGGATCTTGGAGGTCATCTAGTCCAACCCCCTGCTCAGACAGGAAACCCTATACCATTTCGGACAAATGGCTGTCCAGTCTCTTCTTAAAAACTTCCAGTGTTGGAGCATTCACCGCTTCTGGAGACACATTGTTCCACTGGTTAATTGTTCTAACTGTCAGGAAGTTTCTCCTTAGTTCTAGGCTGCTTCTCTCCTTGATTAGTTTCCATCCGTTGCTTCTTGTCCTGTCTTCGGGCACTTTGGAAAATAGCTTGACTCCCTCTTTTTTGTGGCAGCCCCTGAGGTATTGGAACACTGCTATCATGTCCCCCCCCCCTTGTCCTTCTCTTCATTAAACATTATATATCAGTTTGTGTTGATATTTTTTGCTTGATTCTGCTAAATTAAATTTGCCAGAGTGTAGTTTATTTTAAATAAATTAGAATAAGGAAAATAGCATGTTTCATGAACTGGCTGTTAACCTTGGCGAGAAAAGTGTGCTGATCCATCAGGCTTATATCTCTCACCCTTTGCACTGTGTGTCTCATTACCTCCCCCTCTTGTGTGTGCCACTCAAGCTAAATTCTTGGTGGTAGTGGTGGTGTTAGGAACTGAGTTGAACTAAGTGGTGTTGGTGCCTGTCTCTGATCTGTTAACAGCCCCCTTTTGGAATGTGGAGGAGGTGAAAGAAAACAGACTGGAGCTGAAGCAAACGTATTTTCTCTCCCCTGAAGTGTGGGAATATCCTGCCTCTCTCATTCATTCTAGCTTATGCTTTCATAGCACCTGCAGTGCTCAGGTCTGCTGACTTGTTCTCAGCAAAGCAAGTTTAAATTGGATGATACCTGCTGCTGATGGATCACTTTGCCCCAAAATGTCCATGATGTAATTTCCTATTCCTAATTTATTGCCTGGGTGTCTAGGAAAATTACATAATCCATTTCCTTCTGCACCAAGAACCAGCTGCCTTCGTGGATAACAAAGCCAGCCTCTTTTAATTACATAAAGTGCTCTCCAGTTTTAAATCATTGCTTGTTTCTGCCATAATTCTGTGTGTAAATTTCTCAGTTCGTAGTACAGCTGTTGATTTATTTATTTTTTTACTAAAGGTACTGATTTCTTTGGCAAGAATGTTTGATTAGAGATGAGTTTAAAGATACCATGGGATTGTATAAATATAAAATACACTAATCCTAGCATTTTTTTTTCCTCTGACATCACACAATCTTTTCAGAAATGTCTTAATTACTGGGGAAGTATTTGCTTAGGGAAAAAAACACTGTAAATGTGATCCCTTGGTCAGTTTATAAAAGAACACATGAATCAAAAATTTATTGAAATCAGATTGCTAGGGTTTAAATCTAGACAGACTATAAATCAAAGGTAACTGATTACCTGTGATTGTTGCTCATTACTGAGGCAACCAGTGTACAGTGAGAACAAATCTGACTATCTGATTCGATGGACACCAGTTAGATTCCTACAATTCTAGATCAAGTTGCTTTAATTACCCAGATGATTCAGTCAAAGATTCCTGTGATAGGAATAGGATAGAGCCGAGGTGGCGCAGCAGTTAGAGTGCAGTACTGCAGGCTACTTTAGCTGACTGTGTTCAGCAGGTCAGCGGTTCAAATCTCACTGGCTCAAGGTTGACTCAGCCTTCCATCCTTCCGGGGTAAGTAAAATGAGGACCCAGATTGTTGGGGGCAATGTAAATATATATATACACATTGCTTACTGGTTTACACCGCTTAGAGAGTGCTCGTACTTAAAGCGGTATATAAGTCTCATAAATAAATAAATAAATATACTGTATGTGGAATTGGCTCTATTTCTTGCATTAGTTCCACAAATTAAAATCATGGTTTTGAAAACTGGAACTGCACTTGTCTTAGTGTTCTCTGGCTTCATCTTCCACTATTGTTAGAAAAATAATTTGCAATGATGCTCATTAAAACGAATTACATACACTTTCACTCTGTTTTCTCGTTGCTATTATTTGATGGCAACCCATAGTAGTCAGGCCTGCAGACTAACAAAACCATGTGCTATTTAGACCACCAGGCCGAAAGGGAGAGGAGGCAACATGTCTGATTGCTTCCCACTCACATAAGTTTAAATTAATATGGCAAGAAGAAAAAAAAACTTTTTTCTGATTGCCTAGTTTTCTTATGGCAGAAAGTGAAGAGGAACTAAAGAGCCTCTTGATGCGGGTGAAGAAGGAGAGTGCAAAAGTTGGCTTGAAACTCAACATTAAGAAAACCAAAATCATGGCATCCGGCCCTCTCAATTCCTGGCAAATAGATGGGGAAGAAATGGAGGTAGTGACAGATTTTATTTTTCTGGGCTCAAAGATCACCTCAGATGGGGACTGCAGCCAAGAAATTAAAAGACGCTTGCTCCTGGGGAGGAAAGCTATGGCAAATCTAGACAGCATTCTAAAAAGCAGAGACATCACCCTGCCAACAAAAGTGCGTATAGTCCAGGCCATGGTTTTCCCAGTTGCAATGTATGGCTGTGAAAGTTGGACCATAAGAAAGGCTGAGCGCAAAAGAATTGAGGCCTTTGAACTATGGTGCTGGAGAAGACTCCTGCGAGTCCCTTGGACTGCAAGGCGTTCAAACCGGTCAGTCCTAGAAGAGATCAACCCCGACTGCTCTTTAGAAGGCCAGATCCTGAAGTTGAAACTCAAGTACTTTGGCCACCTAATGAGAAGGAAGGATTCACTGGAGAAGAGCCTAATGCTGGGAAAGATTGAGGGCAATAGAAGAATGGGACGACAGAGAATGAGATGGCTGGATGGAGTCACTGAAGCAGTAGGTGTGAATTTAAATGGACTCCAGAAGATGGTAGAGGACAGGAAGACCTGGAGGAATGTTGTCCATGGGGTCGCGATGGGTCGGACACGACTTCGCAATTAACAACAACAACAAGTTTTCTTATCTTGTATTCCACCTTCCCCCCCATGAGCTCAAAGCAGTACAGGCTGATAGCAGTAACTGGGGCCAGAATTCCCATCACTAGGCAATGCAGTTGTAAAGTGCAATGTCATGTGACTGTATCACTTAGAGATGGTGGTCCTGTTGCTGCCATTAAATGAAGATGGTGGGTCGTTAAATGAGGATGTCCTTAATGACTTTCTGTTGGCTTCCAACAAAGCAAGTCCTGCATAGCTTGCAGGTTATGTGGTGGGCAGGTAATTGGCTGCTGTGGCAAGGTACAAGCACAGTTGGACCAGGAATGGGAGGGCGTGCAAGTGTGCTGGACTGGGGTGGATGCTGCTGATGGCAGGAGGGCACAAACGCCACTCTGTGTTCCACCGCCACTGAGAACTCCCATTGCTGTCAAGGAATACCCCCACCTGGCCTTTTACAAGCCAGCTATTGGCTACATGTGGGCCCTCTCATGAGATTTCAGAAGGCCTGTATGACTTTGAGAAGGCCGCCACACGGCCTCAAGAGGAAGGTCTCAAGGAGCAGCAACTGCGTCAGGAAGAGCCAGGCTGGGTGGTGCTCCTTGTCGACAGCAAGAGTGTGAAGGTGGCAAAGGTTAGCTAGGAGCGGCAGGGGCAGCACAGTGCAGGGCCGCAAAAAGGTATAGCGGGGGGGAGATAGTCGGGGGGGGGGAGGTGAGTGGAAGCTCATGCTCTGTTCATAAATGTGAGTGGGCTGCCAAGTGCCCAGAAATTGAAAATTGTCCTTGATGACATTGCAATGGTTGTAACTTGAAGAACTGAGCTTAAATACTATTCTGTTCAGCACCATGCAACTTTGACCAATTGCTAATGAATGATCATTGGGCGAAGACTACCTATATATATTATTTTATCTCATTGTATATTCACAGCACTCCTGTGAGCTAGGCTAGGATGAGAAACCTAATGAGATTTGAAAGAAATTTTTCAGTCTGCATTTGAGCTGATGCAGACTAGAAGCCAATGGTATACAGAATGTCTCTGATTCAGCTTGTCAAATTTGAAATGCCTTATTTCAGGTATAAAAGTTTCATAAGCAGAACTGGTTACTTCAATCATTTTTACCCAGAAACATTTTCAAAATACTTGCAGTTCCCCACTTCGAACAGAATTGGTTATCCTGAACGTGATAATGAATGTTTCAAATTCAAATCCCTACTAGAATCCGTTCATTTGGATAATGTACATTACAGGAACCTCCTAAATTCAGTGTATGCTTAATAATTGATATGATAGCCTGTGTGCTATAAAAGAAACTATAACCAGTCTACCTTCAGGCTATCATTATGTGACTTGTATGTATAGTTTTGAAGATGAGAATGAGCCTATATGTAGCGGAGAATTGCACATGTCACTAAGTTAGACTAATCAGATAGTGGCAATGTGGGAGTTTCAATTTTCACTGTTATGAAAACTGAAACCTCTCCTGTCACATATCAACCAAGTACACTATTAAGTGTGCCCCAACTGATAGCCTTCAGATATGTGGACAGCATTCATTAGTCTCAGCTATATCTAAAGGTAACCATTATAATAAAAATTATTTTGCTTGTGCCTTCCTGTGATAATTTTCTTCCTACCTTAGTATTTTCCCATTGTTATGCCTTTTATAATTTTTTCTTACATTCAATATTTTTTTTTTTTAGTTTTCATCTGATTATTCTTCTTTTTTTCAGCATTGGTTGGATAACACAAAGAGTATAAAAAAACAAGTTAAAAGTAAGTGGTTGAGTTTTTATATATTTTTCAATGAAGTGTTGGGTACATATTTTGGGATACTGTTCCTCTAAAATGGGGTGTCAAATTGGAGTCCACAGGCCGGATGCGTCACACATAGGCCATGCCCACCCCGGCTCCGCAAAGTCAAAAAACATTGCAATACAAAAAACATTGCAATCGAGTTTGACACCAGTGCTCTAAAATATATTTTGACAAAATGAAATAAAAATGTTGCGGTAACAGGAAATGGGCATTATATTTCCTTTTGACTTAAGTTATTTAATTAATTATATACAGCCCAGAAAATTGGCTTGTTGTCAACCTGCATATAGTTATTAAAAAAAAAATCTTTCCATTTTTACTGAAAGACAGATTGAGGGTGGTATTTTCTAGGAAAATATGTCCCTTTAATGTATTGTTCATATTTCTCGCTTTTTCAAATTATTCTCTTGGTAGTAAAATACAGAATAGACCAGAAAGCTTGAAATTCTAGTATAACAGGTACCCTGAATCAGCATTTGGTAATGATTAGTACCATCAGAGACTACCTGGTCTAGAATTTATCTTATTGAAAGATAATGAGAAATGGAACAGAACGGAACAGAAGTTAGTTATCATGACAAAAATTAAGTAGCAATATGGGTGAAGGCAAAATGCATACACAATCTATTGCAGAACGGTTGCATTTTTTGCTAACAAAAGAACATAGTATCAAAAGCTTTCAATAACCCAGGTGAAGTAGGTGTTAGTGAGATGCAAAACCGAGAAGTAGTAAAGATTTTGGAGACTGGTTAAAAGTTCAGAGAGGTTCCAGGATTAGAAGACCTAGAGAGGTGGAACAAATTAGGAGAAAGCTTTCTTCCTAGGAAAGTACAGTATAATATGCCTGTTTCGTTTGGGCTTTGCAAATACCTATCTCGATAGCTTTGCAATGTTTTACTCTCCAAAAAATGCAATGCCTCTTGTTTCAGCTTTAAATCTGTAGAATGTGTGCTGATACACCACAGCCAAGATCTGTGGATTTCTCACTTCATAGAATAGAGCTTGGTAATACTGGGATTGACCTAGATTTGTCTGTTCTTGGCAAGACAAATCAACTTAATGTAATGTACCTTAAATGGCTTCTAATACCTAATATAAAATTACCTCTGCCTATTTTTAACCCTGTATTGCTGGTGTGTTTTGTATTTAGATTGTTTTAAATTAATTTCATCTTGAGAACAATTGTAATTGATGTGTACCTGTATGAACATCTTTGCAAAATATTGTCTTTGCTGTTAGTAACACATATTCCTTTCTGTAGTTGGTCCACCGTACTGTCTTCATCTTCGTGTAAAATTTTATTCTTCTGAACCAAACAACTTACGTGAAGAGCTCACAAGGTACATTGTATGCAAGCAGAAAAACTACGAATCCTATAGAAAGATTTTGATGATCTGTATTTTTAGCCCAGTGTATAACATTCTAATCTGAATATGAATATTGCAAGGTTCCTAGTTTTTAAATAGTTAAATAAAAGTTGAGTGTTCAGGTTATGCTCCCAAGGCCAGGCACTAGAATAAATAGTGAAAGGGTAGGAGCAAATTCATACATTAAATATCAGTGAAATATATTCAATTTTATATCCAGTCCTCATAGCATTCCCATTCTATTGAGAATACTTATGAAATAAAGTTCTACCAAACAAATATAAAAGATTTTGGACTTGTCCAAGAAATCTGCTCTGGGATTGCTTTGAATGGTGAAAAAGTAGAAAAAAATAATTAAAAATAATCACTTCTCTTTTATCCCATTTCAGTATTACACCCCAGGAAAACAGAGGAAACTGAAATTGGAAAATGAGTATTCCTCAATCAGAATGTTATTCTTCTGTGATAAAACAGACTGTTCCTTGTTTCTGTGTTTTCACTGAGAATCCTTTGTGCTTTTCTCCCCAATATATGAATTTCTGTTTGACAATCAGCTTCTCAAGCAGTCTGTCAGTCTTTTTTATCCAGAAACAACTGATTGGCTCTTCTTGCAGTTGTTATTAACCATCTTCAGATCCATAACACTGAAAGCATCTGTCTTCTTTCTGTCACTCTTTCTCAGTGATTAGTTGTCACAGCCATACTTCAACACTGCTAAACTCTTGCAGTAACTATTCTAATATGTATTGTCATAGAGATATGACAAAAAATCTATCATGATCAGATAAGGTCATTGCCTTCCTACCTATCTCCAGCATACTGAAACTGTGTATATGCTACTAAAACTCCTGTGTCTCTTTATGACATCCATGACATGAAGCATTATAGGGCAAGTTTGTGAATCAACATCCCTCAAATGGGCTAAATGAAAGAATGCATCTAAAATTATGGACCCTTTATTATCATGGGATTTGGCAAATTTGTAACTGCTTCAGTATTGCTGCATTGCCATGGTCAGACACAATTATGTGACTCTAATTTCTAACCTCCTTGCCAACTTCCCACCAGAAAGTCAATGGGAAAATTGGAAGTCACACACAACCCCCCTGCTCTTTTGCCCACCCATGGTCATTTTCTCTGTTTATGTAAGGAAACAACTTCTGAAATAGTGACACAATGGGTCGTGGGCTGTCTAATGTACCACTATCACTTTATCCGTCATAAACAGTGAGGGCATTGAATATACTGGTTGACATTAACCCAGACTTTTTAGTTTCCATTTTTATTTTCATAATGAGCTCTCCATTTTGTCTTTGTCAGCTTATTTTATTTTGTTTTAGCTAACAGTATGGTATTGTCTGCATATCACACAGATTGTTAGTGTTCCAACCTTCAGTTTTGATTCCAGTTGCCATCTCTTCCAATTTTGCCATTGACATAATATATTCCTTGTGTAATTTCAATAAATAGGAGGACAGTCTCATCCTTGTCTCATTCTCTTCCCTACTCTATTTCTTCACTTTCAGTTCTAACAGTAGCTTCTTGTTCTTTTGAGGAATAATAAATTGTTCTGGTTCACCCATATTTTGCCATGATCTATGCAATCAAAGGTCTTCCTATAATCAGTAAAGCAGAGATAAAACTTCTTTAGAAAATACCTTGCTCTCTCTATTATGTGTCTTATATTTGCTACCTAGTTGATAATCCTTTGCCTTTGTGAAGTCTTCCTGTTCATTTGGTGTTTTTCTCTTCATGTACTGTTCTGTTGTTATGTAAAATTTTGTTTGTAGGAAGAGTTAATGGAAGTTTCACATTTTCTAGCCTCTTAAGTCTTTTCCAATCTCTATGCAACTCTATGGAAGCAGGTTAAAGTGATCACAATTTTCCCTGCAGTACTATTGTAACCTCTTGTTTCTAGTCTGGTGTCACCTGAAAATCTACTCACACAAATTTCAGATACAATTTTTTTTCCATTTTCATTCAGCCAAGTCTTAATGGTACATCCCATATCCAGTGTTTTCTTCACTAGAAGGAGTCTTCTTAAAAATATCTTTTTCCTTTTGTTATTATTTTCTTTTGGTTATTACAATTTGGGGTAGATATATCTTTCCTCTTTTATTCTTGCTTAACACCGGAAGCTTATGTTCAGTCATTTCATATCTTCCTTATTGATGAAGACTTTCATCTTCTGTTTTCTCTGGTTATTACGATACCTTGTTCTGAATGCCACTTACATCTTTTCCATTTAGATAAATGTTGGGTTTTTTTCTTCTACATGTTTTTTCTTCTAATTGTTCTCCAGCACTGGAGATGGATAATCCACGCAGTGGGTTGAGACTGTATTCCTGGCCAATCAGATCAGTCAGCCAAAGTTGCCACGCCTGTCCTGGACCACGATTTCTCAATCTTGACTGATCTGGCCACACAGACAGACGTACAACTTTGGCTCCTGGGCAGGTATAGTTCCTTTCCATTGGGGGGATTTTTTTCTAGTAGCTGAAATTGCTTAGTTTAAAAGTTAATTAGAGATAATGTAATTCAATTTAATTGATTACTCTAAAATTCCCTTGCTAAATTATAAGACTCAGGAAGTCAGATTCCCTACAGGGGAAACCATCCTCACTTAAAAGGGGGAATTCCCTAACTCCCCTCCCTCACCCAAACCCCAACCACCTTCCCACAGCTGGAGCAGCCGGCAGCCGCCTTAAACAAACGGGGAGGCTCGGGCAACCCCTCGCGTTTAAAAAAAAAAAAAAGACAGAAAGACAAGCAATTAGCAAGGGAAGCGGAGGACAAAGGGGACGCATGCTGGGAGGGAGATTGATTACGGGAAACAGCTGGCGAGCGAAGGAGCAGTTTCTTTCACTCACCAGGCTGCTCAGGGTCTTTTAAACGAGGTGCCATTGTCTGGGCAGCTGGGAGCACGCGCGGCTCTTTGTTACAACCGCACGTGGCACCGGCAGCCTTTTAGCACAGGCGCAGTAGTCTCCTGCTTCTTTAACACATGCGCAGTAGTCTCCTGGCAGCGGCGGCCATATTTTGTGCAAGCAGGGGATCCAAGGCTCCCTGAGAAGCCTAGGTCCAGCCGCTGGAGTAAATGAATAGGCAAGCAGTACTAGGATACTAGAGCTTCTATTATTCATTTAGAGACAGTCAAATCAGACACATACCTGCTTGTTCCAGGACATGGTGTCTTCAATCCAAAGTAAATAAGAACCTTTCATAACTAAGTGTGTTTAGTTGCCTTTGGCTCCTTCCGGACTTCGGGTCCCCCATTAGTGGCCCGTACGCTTCTGGATTTAGTGGTGGGTTCCAGGCATCCCCAGTCGCGTGCCTGTCCTTACCCACCATAGTCAAGCCGGGTTCCAGGCATTCCCATTAGCGTGCCTGTTCTTATCCGTGCACAGTGACTAACTCTGACAATTTTGCTCCTGAGTTCCAGACGCCCCCAGTAGTGCGCCTGTCCTTACTCAAAGTTGGAGCTCTCCTACTACCTGGGTCCCCCCTATCGCGGCCCGGCGTTAGTGGAGAATGGAGGAAGCAATCATTCCCTCCACTGGAGCCCTGCCTTCATCCTCTGGAGCACCCGCTTCAGAGGATTCGGAATCCTCTGCAGCCCCTAGAAAGGCTGCAAGGAAGTCATCAAAGAAGGCTGACAAACAGGCAATCAGAAGACACCAAGCCCTAGAAAAGGAGTTCAACAGAGCCCAGAAAAGGGCCAGAATTGAAAATAGGCAGAATGGGGGGATAGGTCCCGATCTACCGCTGGGTCTCCCTACATCCCCACGGGGCGTTTGGTCATTAGGGAACTCATCACAGTCCCAAACAGAGGGCGGGATAGCCGAGTTCTCATCGCTCTCCCGATCCCCTTCCCCACGGAGGTTACAGGAAACCCCGAGGACCATGCTAACCACAGCACCTGCAGGGTCGCAGGCAATGGTTACTCCTCCTGCATTGACGGGGGATCTGCTAGCTACCCTAATAGCACAGGCAGTGGACCATGCATTTGAGGCCAGGGCTCAAACTTCCAAAGCCAAGCCTCTAGGACTTAGAACGAGGCATCGAGAGGAAACGGAGGACCATCAGGATCTCTCCTCCTTCTCAGACTCGTCGGTCTCAGAGGAAGCTTACCTGGACCAGCCAGGTACGTCACAAGGGATTCAAATGTCTGAGGAAGAGGAGGACACCTCACCTCAAGGGCCGTCCTTCAGCGGTCTGTTTAACCCTTCTCTTTTTGTTACCATTCTGCGCAAGGCTGAGGCCACAGCCCATCTGGGACATGGGACACCAGCGGAGCCTGTCACAGTTGACACGGAGGCTGAGCCGACGTTCGCCGAAAAGGTAACCACTCAATACCGCATACCATGCCCGACCATGTTCCTAAACACAATAAGGAAACAGTGGGCAGCGCCAACCTCCCTACCGCTTCCTAGCAATGCGGAGAGGAAGCTATTTAACGTAGCAAGGGAGCTAGAGGGAACATTGGAGGTGCCGGTGGTGGACGAACCCATAGGTCCCCTGATATCGGACACGGCCATATCAGGAGATTTTGCTGAGGCTCTTAAAGCCGAGGACCGAAAGAGTGAGTCCAACTACAGGAGAATGCACCAGGCAATAGCTTGGGCTACCAGGGCGACTACCTCCGCATCCTTTTTCACCAGAGCCACACTGTTGGCTCCGTGAGTTACAGGGCTGGGTTCCCATGGAGGACGTACGCACTCACCAGGAACTCAGCAAAATGGTAGCGGCCACGGAATATGCGTCGGACGCGACACTTTTAGCGACCAGGTTTTCAGCCAAGGCAATGGCGGCAAACAACACGAGCAGGCGCCTCCTCTGGCTAAAGAACTGGCAGGCGGATACCAAATCCAAGTGGAAATTGGCTTCGGCTCCGTACCAAGGGGCAAAGCTGTTTGGTGAGGCACTAACGCCGTACCTGACAGAGAACAAGGACAAGCGCAAGGTCCTTAAACACCTGCTTAAAAGGCAGGACAAGAGACCCGGCTCCTGGGGAAGGAAACAATCCTTTCGTACGGAAACCAGGGTCAACTACTTCCAAAATTCCCAACCCTTCCAAGCTAGACAGGATAGGGAAAGACGGGACAGACAGAACACAAGAAATAGGCAAACACAGGGAAGACGGCCCTTTCGGGGGAACAACCGCCCCTTCCGCCATACCAGATGACTCCCACCCAGACCTTCCCATAGGGGGCAGACTAGCAGGGTTTGCTCCCCAGTGGGAAGAGACCACCACGGACGTATGGGTCAGGAACACCATACGTCATGGTCTATCTCTAGAATTTCTCTCAAAGCCCCCGAACCGCTTCCGCCCGTGCCCCTGTCCCACAAACCCAACAAAGAGAAGGCTCATGAACGAGGCCGTTCAGCACCTTCTAAACATACGGGCCGTAGAGCCGGTGCCTATGAACCAGAGAGACCAGGGGTTTTATTCTATCCTCTTCGTGGTCCCAAAACCCTCGGGGGGTTGGAGAGCCGTTTTGGATTTGAAAAGGCTAAATTTCTACATAAAATACCGCAAATTCAAAATGCAGACACTACGCTCCATCCTTGGAAGCGTAAGGAAAGGGGATTTTCTGGCATCGATCGACCTCACGGAGGCATACTTGCACATCCCTATCTCTCTGGCTCACCGCCGCTTTCTACGGTTCGCCTACAGGGGGCACCATTTTCAATACAGGGCACTTCCATTCGGCCTGTCATCAGCGCCCAGGGTGTTCACCAAGATTCTGGCGGTTCTGGCAGCACGCCTAAGAAACGTCCCGATCAGAGTCCAGTGCTACCTGGACGATATTCTAATCCAGTCATCGTCCGCCCAACAATCTCAGGCGGACCTAAAGTCAGTGATAAAGCTGCTGCAGGACCACGGCTTCTCGGTGAACTTTCCAAAGATCCACCTAACCCCAACTACGAGAATACTCCATCTGGGAGCGGTCATAGACACAGAGGAGTGCAAGGTGTACCTATCACAGGAACGCCTCAGCAGCATAAGGAAAGCCGTAAAATAGGTAAGCCGCGGTCAGTCAGTGACGCTGGTCTGCCTCTCCCAGCTGCTAGGGAAGATGATATCGACCATAGCAATAGTTCCTTGGGCAAGGCTGCACTCAAGAGAACTGCAGTGGTTCATGCTCCCGTTTCAGAGACAACAAATCAGTGCATCCCGGAAGAGGGTAGGCATACCTCTGAGAGTACGACACTCCCTCAGGTGGTGGCTATCTCCAGCTCTCTCAGGGGGTCCCCCTTCAGGGAACCAGACAGAGTAGTAGTCACAACAGATGCGAGTTTATTTGGCTGGGGAGCCCACTTGGGGACCAAGTGGACACAGGGCTGCTGGTCAGCGGTGGATCTCCGACACAACATAAACTGGCTTGAGCTGCGGGCTATTCACCTAGCGTTAAGGCATTTCCACAGCAGCATAAAAAGCAGGCATGTACTGGTCCTGACGGACAACGTGACAGCCAAGGCCCACATAAACCGTCGGGGGGGCACACACGCTCGCTCTCGGCCGAGGCCTTCCTACTGGGGGCCTGGGCGGAACAAAATCTGGCCTCCATAAAGGCCGACCACATATCGGGGGAGGCAAACATCCAAGCAGATCTGTTGAGCAGATCAACAATAGATCACTCGGAGTGACAACTACACCCAAAGATCTTCAGGGAGATCTGTCACTGCTTTGGGCTTCCCCAGGTGGACCTATTTGCCTCTCCTTCCAATGCCCACCTAACTCGCTTCTTCTCCCGATTCCCATCCAGGGGAGCAGAGCAGACGGATGCGTTATGGAGCCCATGGCCAAGGGGACTCCTGTACGCGTTTCCACCCTTACCTCTCCTTCCGGCGGTAGTACGCAAGATTCTACGGGAAAGAGCCAGGGTAATCCTTGTGGCCCCTTATTGGCCAAGGAGACCTTGGTTCGCAGACCTGAGGAGTCTCTCCCACACGAATCCATAGCAGACTCCTCCGGAGAGGATCTCCCTCAAGCAGGGGGAGATCTCCCACCCAGAGCCACAATGGCTACAACTAGCCGTCTGGCTCTTGAACGGTCAATTTTAACCAAGGGGGCTTGCTCACAGGGTGTAATTAGGGTCATACAGGCATCAAGGTGCCCCTCCACGAAGCATATCTACGAGGCCACGTGGAGAAGCTTCCAATCATGGTACTCTAAACAGGAATTGTTACTCGAAGGGATCACGGTTCCCAAGATCCTAGAATTTTTACTAGATGGCCTAGAGAGGGACCTCTCGCCAAACACGCTGCGCAGGCAAATCGCCGCCCTCTCAACTATATTTTCTGCCAGCCCCGGTGAATCCTTGGGCAAGCATTCCCTTAATACGATCCTTTCTCAAGGGGGCTGCGAATATCAGACCGCCAACCGTGCACAGGTATCCATCGTGGGAACTACCACGAGTACTACAAGCTCTTACCAGAGCGCCCTTCGAACCACTCAAAACGTGACATTCGCTACCTGACCCATAAGGTAGCATTCTTAGTAGCTATCACGTCAGCTCGATGGATATCCGAGTTAGCTTCTCTCTCAACGAGGAAGGACCTGTGTCACTTTCACAGGGACAAGGTAGTCCTAAGAATAGACCCTTCCTTCATTCCAAAGGTCAACTCCTTTTTTCACAGATCACAAGAAATAGTCCTACCAGACTTCTGTCCAAATCCAGCTCATCCCCTGGAGCAACAATGGCACACCTTGGACGTACGAAGGGCACTAAGACATTACATTTCGCGCACAGTGGAATTCCGACGCTCGGCAGCGCTTTTCATATCCTTCCACCCCGCTACTAGGGGCCGGAAGGTCCCGTCCTCTACCATCGGTAGGTGGATTAGGGCATGCATCACTGGGGCATACCAGGCGGAGTCCTTGCAAGTCCCCAAGCATATCACGGCCCACTCCACAAGGAGTGCTGCCACCTCAGCAGCATGGGCCATGCAGGCTTCTATTGAAGAAGTGTGCAGGGCAGCCACTTGGGCCTTTCCCTCTCCATTCATTCGCCATTACAAAATCGACAAGTACTCCTCTGCAGAGGCCTCCTTCGGTAGGAGGGTTCTCCAGCAGCTTCTAGACCAAAGTTACACACGGGACCAGTCTATTCCCCAACCCAAGGGACAATAGGCTTTGGTATGTCCCACTGCGTTGATTATCCATCTCCAGTGCTGGAGAAGGGGCGTTGACTTACCTGAACGCCTTTTCTCAGCACGGAGATGGATAATCCACACCCACCCTTATAGACTAGGATAATAGGGTATATTTAGTTGAGCCAAAACGTCTTACTGTCAGTCAATGGCTACGCTCGTGTCAAGACTGGGAAATCGTGGTCCAGGACAGGTGTGGCAACTTTGGCTGACTGATCTGATTGGCCAGGAATACAGTCTCAACCCACTACGTGGATTATCCATCTCCGTGCTGAGAAAAGGCGTTTAGGTAAGTCAACGCCCCTTTTCACACATTTCTCTTCTCTATGAAAATATTTATTTTTCTTTAATCTTCTGATCTTAACCCAAATATTTTATACCTGTAATTCATAATCTGTCTACAATCTGCAGCTGGAAATGTTCTAGCTGAGTGAATGTATATCTCATCTTCTGTTTTCCTTTATGTAACTGATTTGATTTGAGGATTGTGCCTATGCAGTAGTGATCTTATGCTGTAGAGTATATTTATGGTGCTTGATAGCAATTTCATGTATGTATTAACAAGGAAAAAATCCTCATCACAAAACTCTTATTAATTTCTCCCTGTTTTACTACATTATACAAATCTAACTTTTCTGTAATTTCAGATTCATTTATTTCCCCAATATCTGTAATCCAGTCATGCATGAATAGTACTCCTTACTTTCTAGGTGATGCTTTTGACATATTTTGCAGTTTGCCATAGAAATTGTTCAGTGTTGTATAATGTTGCATTTCTATCTGGGTTATATATAATCATATAATAGTGATGTGCAGTTGCTATCCATTATGTCTAATAGATATGATTCTGTTGTTTGATAAAGCTGAATAGTGATGTTCTTTTTGGAATATTATTAGCACTCCATTCCATCATACAGTTTAATGCTCAGAATGTATAAATTAACCCTTTTCAGTATTTCTAAGTTCATTTATTCCTAAAACATTTTTTAAAAAGCAAGGTCCTAAACTGTTCAAAGCCTCAAAATATCCTTGCATCCTCACTAACATTTTTCTTGCTTTTCCCTTTTAAAACAGATATTTATTTGTTCTTCAACTAAAGCAGGATATTTTGAGTGGCAAGTAAGTACTATTGATAATTGTACTAAAACTTAATTCACACAACATGCTAAATCTTGAGTTGGGCTTATTGCAAGGCACATACTTGATCCCCTGTGTTAAGTGTTTTTTAGCCACAACTTCAATAGCTTCCTGAATGTCATCAGAGTAGTGGGAGGCATCCAGATCTCTGGGAGTCAGGGACTATGAAGTGTCCTTCCTTTCACGCTAAATTTTATTTCTAAAGCTATCTCGCTATCTTTTTTCAGATTGCCAATTTTATTTCCTAACCCTACCACAAACTAGAAAAAGCCTTCCATGGTTAAAATTTGTAGATGTTAGTAGTAGCCTCTTTAGCTGAGACTGTTGTCTTTTGTGGAACCGAAGGAGTTTTTGTTTACAGTCAAGGCCCTAGGAAGAATTTTCCTGTGTGAATCAAATACTATTCTGCGGTGACTCATCGTTATCAGGTAGTTCAGCTGCTAGATTATTTCCCTTGTACTGTTCATATCTGTAGCTCACTGGACCTGGGTAAGAGATTCTGTGTTGTCTTTGGGCATCTACATTTGTCAAGCATTACATTTTGCATATTCAGCAAGAGTAGCCATTGGATGCATGCTTTGGAAAAGAGTACTTTCTACTTTCCTGAGTCATGCAAAAACCTCACATTACCTTGCTATCAAGACAGACCACAAAGAAAGATATGGTATTGCATGTAATCAGGGCTTTTTGAATGCTTTTCTGAATTTACACAACCTACCGTCCTTTCTTCTTGTAGGCACAGCTCTCATTGTACTAAGATTGTTTTAGTTTGGTTTCTGACCATCAAATGCAAGCACACTTTTCCAGTTTATTGAAACACATTATTCCCTTCCTCCCTTCCTTTAAAATCTAATTATATTTCTACACAGCCTACAGCCCAGTCCTTTGGGATTAAGGTTACCAATAAATGCTGGAAGGAAAGAAAATATTAGAACAGTTTGTTTGATACATTTTTTTCTTATTATAGATTGGAATGTCCCTTTGAAACAGCAGTGCAATTAGCAGCTTACATGTTACAAGGTAAGTTGCCTGGAGAATTTTGTGTGGGTGTGCTGCTTAAAACCATGGACTTCTTCAAGCCAAACAGGTTTCCTTTGCCAGTAGCAAACCACATGCACATGCTTGGTCACTTTTGTACATGAAGGATCTATTTCATGTTCAATCCAACCACAGGATTATAAAGCTGATAGGGCAACCGTCAAATAATGTTAACCACCAAGATTTCAGCTTTGGACAACTATTTTACAACCCATCATGATTAAGAAGTATGAATGGAATTCTGAGGCTTGCAGAGCTATGATCTTTATCTGAGGAGGGGGATTAAACAGGAGTAGGAAGAATCAGCTTTCTTCAGTAAAATAACTATTTTTGTTATTTGAATTTTGTTCTGAAAAACTCAGAGAATAGCAAAATGGTTACAAACCTGGCTGACAGTTGGAATCCTACACCGAGTATGGCAATGCTTTTGTCATCTTTCCCAAGGTCTCTTAAAAAGCTGCCAGGATTTTACTTATTTTTTATTGTTTCTCATAAATATAAAAGAAGTTTTCTTGCTTTAGCTTTAATAAACTTGAATTTTAACAAATGTGTACAACTCTTATGTGTGATTTTATCATATGGTGTCCTTAAATGATTTACTTCATGTTTATTTCCACATAAGAATATTTACTTAATTCTTGTAAGTATAATTCACCTAAACATGTTCCTATTTTAAGTGCTTAAACTTTATTTATGCAGAAATAATTTCTGCACAATTCAGTGGAATATTTATAGGACACCAGTTTTGGAGGCTTTAGTGCTACTAAAGTGCTTTTTGGCTTTAGATAGTTCTCATTATAGATAACAGATTTATAATTGGATATTCATTTTTTGTCTAGGAATAAAGAGTGTTCAGGGATTTTTTTTTTCCATGTATAAAATCAAAACTGCAAATGGCAAATATTTTGTTTCCTGATACCTGCACAAAATCATATAAATCAGTTATGTTATTCAATATGTTGCTTTGAAATGCAAAAGTGAATTTTCTTTCTTGCACAATTCATTATATATGATATAAAAATGTACTACATCCCTTTTTAAGTTATATCAGTGTTGTTTCCATTATTTGCTACTAGCTTAACTATAGCTACTATAGTATATGTTCTTTTATTGTTTTGTTCTTTATGCAAACTGCTGGGCTCTACTGATTAGATTTATGTGTAATCAAGCCATATTTAACTGCATAGCATCTGTAAGCTAATTAAGCTGAGAGGAGAGTCAGCCCATATGCAAGAAGAGGAGGGCAATAAAATTATATTTATGTAGCCAAAATCATTCTCAGTATTGCAGAAAAGTTATGAAAAGGTGGTGGTCCTGAGTTTCTGAATCACTGCTAATGTGCAAAGATGGTCTTAGGATGCTAATTTATACCAGACAACATTGATTTTTTTTAATTTAAATACGTAGACATATATTCTGTTTAACACACACCAATGTAAAACTTTTCATTTTTGAAAATAATCTATTAGAATTTAAATAAAATTGCGTTAATTTGGGGGAAAATATATATCCAATATTCCAGCCTAATTCTGTAAATTGGGTTTATAGAAGTGTATCCCTTATTGCAAGATAACTTTATACAAATAAGAAATAGTAAAGTATAAAAACCTGGTGATACTCCTTTGAGATTGTAGTTGCATTAGCCATTCTCAAGAGAAAGAGGCATGTCTAATTAAAGAGATTTTCTACTCTGTTCAGCAGGTTTAGAGCATGTGTGGGGGAGAATACGGGAGAAATAAGAATATGGAGCATACCTATTGGGCAAGCAAAATTCCATTTGTATGACATTGGAGGAGACCAACGTAGGAGATAAATATATTTATTTATCAACACTAAATGTTCTCTCATTTTATGATAGCTAAAACACAGCAAGTTAATAAAGAGTTTTAAGCTCCTAGAGCAGGGGTAGGCAACCTTGGCTCTTTTATGACTCGTGGACTTCAATTCCCAGAATTCTTAAGCCAGCAGCTGGCTCAGGAATTCTGGGAGTTGAAGTCCACGAGTCATAAAAGAGGCAAGGTTGCCTACCCCTGTCCTAGAGAGTGAAAGATTCCATACTTGAGCATTTTGGATATTAACAGTTCCAACCAATCTAACTGAGAGAGAAAGACTATTTGTATTGAGTGAGTGACTGAGATACCCTGCTTTTTGCAGCTGAACTTGGGGATTATGATCCTATTGAGCACATCCCAGACATAGTGTCAGAATTCAGATTTGTGCCCAGTCAAAGTGAAGAGATGGAACTGGCCATTTTTGAAAAGTGGAAGGAATACAGGTAACTAAGTCCTGGATTGTAAATATTCACAACTTGTCCCTCCCATATAATTTTGTATATGTATGTATTATTTTCTGTCCATTGTGGCATGTTATTGATAACTTTTTTTTTTTAGTATTTAGCATAAATTGGGATTTCATCAAAATTTGTAGATCTGTAATTGATCCCTACAAGAGAGACCATAATGTTAATTATTATGTCAAATACTATTTTAAACAACTACACAGAATATATCTTTTTGATAACATTTATGTCGTAGTATGTGTACTAGCTTTATCCTCATTTTCTTTTTAGTTTTCACCAGAGGTTCCCCAGGATGGGGATCAAGAATCTGAATCCCCCCTAAATGCAGAGTAGTTGCGATTTTGCTCTGTACTTAAAAGCCAGATAAAGGAGAAGCTGTTTTTCAATATTATGCCATCTATTTTTCTCTACAGAGCAAATACCAACAGATCTTAAAACCATCTGGTATTTTTTAAATACTAGTGCACAAATTTAGCATCTCCAAATTTATCAGAACAACTGTACAAGTTTCAACTGTACAAGTTTCCACAGCTTAATTATGCGGTGTAGTATTTTCCCAGTTCTTACATTTCTAAGCGAAATAAGCATCTATGGCCCATTTGAATTAGAACTGGTACTCTTTAGTTTGTCTTGGGCACTTTTAAACATATGTGTAGTCAGTTTTCTCCGGAAGGATTTTATAGTTTTGCTGTAATTTTTGTGTTACATATATTATTTCAGGGGTCAGTCACCAGCTCAGGCAGAAACAAACTATTTGAACAAAGCAAAATGGCTCGAAATGTATGGAGTAGACATGCATATAGTAAAGGTAAGATTGTGGTAACAATCTTTTCAGGAATGCTTATAATGTTAATATTGAAAAAACACAATTCAGACGTAAGAAAATGGATTTTTGTTTATTTCATCTGTTTGCCATGGCATGATACTTTAGCTACATCAGATTAGCTGTCTCACAGGCCAGCATAAATCTCTGGATCTTAAGAGACTCTCCAGAATAGATTTGGTGGAATGCTGCAAAGGAAAAAAAGCCATGTAACTTACCAGTTAAAGATCTTGCCAATGTACCCCAATAGAATGTACTGGTTTTTTTTTATTAAAAGTTTTAAAAAATTTATTACAATATAAACCCCCCACCCCTCTCCCCTTCCCCCCCTCCCCCACTTCCCAGAGCTGATTACAGGGTAACAAATAAACAAACATAATCTAACTAACATAAACCAGCTATACTATCAATCAAAACCATAACACACTTTAACTCCTTCTCAAAACAAATATTAACAAATTAAAAAAAATAATAATATAATTAAAACTATTAATAATTATCTAAACTCTACTCAAAAGCAAGATAATACTTTTCAGTTTCATATTTCTTTTGAATATAATCAATCCATCTTCTCCAAACCATAATGTATCTTGTGAATGGTCCTTCAAGTAGGCAGAGATTTTCTCCATTTCTGCTAAATTAGACACCTTAAGTGTCCATTCTTCCAAAGTAGGCAGTGAGTTTTTCTTCCAATATTGCCCCACCAATAATCTTGCAGCTGTTATAAGATTCAACATCAAATTAATTTCTTTAACGTCAAAATCTACAATAATACCCAACAAAAATAATTGCGGAGTAAACTTTATCTTTCTCTTAAAAATCTTTTGAATATTCCACCCAATAGAATGTACTGTTGTACTGCTGATGATAACAGTACATTTACTACAATCATCTGTGACTAAACGGTGTTTATTTGTTTCTGACTCTGAAAGCGCACATAATGAATGTATTAGTACAAAGTGACAATGTCATAATGGTTTGATGGAAAATATGATGGAATCCATAGGGGTTTTCTTTTAAGAAATATTATCTAACTGGTAACCTAATATTAATCATTTTAAAGCAGGGGTGTCAAACTGATGGCCCGCAGGCCGGATGCTTAGACCACGCCAACCCCAACTCCACAAAAGCAAAAAACATCGTGGTACATCACGATACGTCACGTGTCGTGATCGAGTTTGACACCCATGTTTTAAAGTAAGGACAAATCACAAAGCTAGCTAGACTATCTCCATATAAGTAATATGGAGCTGTGGTGACACAGTGGTTAGAATCCAGTATTGCAGGCTAATTCTGCTAACTGCCAGGAGTTCGATTCTGACTGATTCAAGGTTGACTTAGCCTTCTAGCCTTCCGAGGTCGGTAAAATAAGGACCCAGATTATTGGGGGCAATATGCTAATTCTGTAAATCACTTAGACAGGACTATAAAGCACTATGAAGCGGTATACAAGTCTAAGTTCTATAGCTAAGTGCTATTGCTATTTATATTATTTTCTCCACCGCCCCATGTTTTTTAAAATTCCATTCTTTCCAGCATAGTTATGGAAAGTTTTCAGTAGTAATAACATTGTAATAAATAACCATGAGGCAATTTAAAATACAAAGATAAAATATTATGAAAAGTACAGATCATCCCTAAATGTTCTGTTGGGAAGCAGGAAATTTAATGGAACAGATTGTTCACTTGCTAGGTCATGTGTTAATTTAGATACAGTATATGTGACTTACTTTGCTGTAAAATCATAACAATAAATAAAATACTAATTATATTAAGATAATCTGTTCTGCAAAAAAAAACATACCTGAAGGAATATTTTAACCTAATTTTAATTATTATTAGGCAAGAGATGGCAATGATTATAGCCTTGGATTAACACCGACAGGCGTCCTTGTATTTGAAGGAGATACCAAGATTGGATTGTTCTTTTGGTAAGCTGGAAAACCTATATATCTATGCCTGAACTGCCAGGGAAGACTTGAGCAGTCCCAAAGTCACAATGCCAGGATCATGAAAGTTTTGGGAAATCTTAAAAAGTGACTTAAGATATGTTAATCATGGGGAGGGGGCAAAAACAGTCTTTCCTAAAGAACTACATATGACCTAAATATATGAACAGTAAATAGGCCTATCAACCACAGAATGCTCTGATCTGTCAGTCAACAGAAACAAGAGTTAATAACCTTAGACCAGAGGAAGTTATGAGTGACAGTTAGTAGTAGAAACTGCAGGAGAACGGGAACATTTCTTCACCCTTGAAATGTGTAATATCCATATCTAATATGAAATATTTTTTAGGGAGTCCACTTGCATTTAGAGTTTATATAGCCTAAATTTGAGTAAGGCTTTTGGTAAAGTTTATAATAACTACAACACTGTTAAATTGGTATCCTGTATGGCATAGTTGGGATGACTCTTAGAAAGGAATATATCAAATAGAAAGTCTCAGTGTCTGAGAAATAATATTGGTGTATGTGTTTTAAAAAAGTTAATTTTTATTATAATGATCTCCTTTTGAAGGATTTTTTGATTTTTTTGGAGTTAATCTCTCTTTTTCTTTTGTTTAATTTTTGTAACTTTTAAGAAGGAGTAAAGATTTTTCTAAGATGGCTCCAAAGTGTTCAGTATTTTTTTGTTATAATGATCTCCTTTTGAAGGATTTTTTGAATTTTTTTGGACTTAATCTCTCTTTTTCTTTTGCTTAATTTTTGTAATTTTTAAGAAGGAGTAAAGATTTTTTTTAAGATGGCTCCAAAGCGTCCAGTAATTCCTACAGCTCCTAAGGTGGTTTCTTCTTCGGTGTTATCATCAGTGCAACAACCTAAATCAATAGCTTCACCCTCTTCCTTGGTACAGCCAATAATTGTGAAGGATTTGCAAGATATGATGGGAAATGTTATATCTCAAATTAGGGCAGAAATGAAAGAGATTTTAGAGGAAAATAATAAGATTTTGAGGTAAGAGATAGTTTTGGCTCTAAAAGGAGTTGCCTCTGTTCTTGAAAAGCTGAACTCTCGTGTAGAAGAGGTAGCAGAAAAAGTGGAATTGATGGAGGGAAAATTTGAAAGCATGGAAAAAGAAATGGAAAATGAGATTCTTATGCTTCAATATAGACAAATGGAATATGCCTTAAGAATCAGAGGTTTGGGAGAGTCTGTGCAAGGAGATCTGAGAGAGATGGTTGCAAAGGACTTTGCTGTGATTTTGAATAAAGAAAAAGAGGAAATACTTAGTGAAATTGAAAAATTATTTAGAGTTAACTCTGTGGTGGCAGTGCAAAAGAATTTGCCAAGAGATGTGGTAATTTACTTTGGGAAAAGATCTCTGCGCAACGAAATTATACAAGCTTTTTATAATAAACTTTTTGGAGCGACCTTTAAGGGCAGATTTCAAAGCACTTCTTTCGAGATTTATGGATAAGAGAGACTGACAAGGATGGAGATAGAATGAAAATTCTAGATAAGAAGTTTAAGTTTAAGTACTTAGTTTAAGTATTCAAAAGAGTACTGAGTCTGTGGGAGAAGCAAGATTTACAAACTTTTTGGAGTTAGCTTTAAGGGCAGTTTTCAAAGCACTTCTTTTGAGGTTTATGGACAAGAGAGACTGATAAGGAATGTGTTTATTGTGGATGGAATTTGTTATTGGTAAAGATTTAAATGTGTATAAGGGAATTCTAATGTTTTAAGTAATGTTCAAATTTGTGTTTTGGATGGAGTTTATAAAGAATGATGGATAATAACATAAGTATGATATGAAAAGGTTCAGAGTATATTATAATGTGTTTAATGATTGGGGTTTTTTTATTATTATTATTATTTTTAAGAGAAGATAACTTGTTTAATTAAATGTACCTAGATTTGTTTAGGATTTATATGTCTTTTAAGTTTTTTTTTGATAGGAGAGAAGATTATGGAGATTGAATGAAAATCTTAGATAAGAAGTTTAAGTTTAAGTATTTAGTTTAAGTATTCAAAGAGTATTTAGTTTTAATGGTATAATGAAGGTTTATATGTTTATTTTTGTGTTCTAGGATAAAGAAAGAGGGAGAGATTAGATTTTATATTGTAGGTATAGATATTCAAAGAAAGTAATGTTTAAATTTGTGTTTTGGAGGGAGTTTATACAGAATGATGGATAATAATATAAGTATGATACTAGAAAATGTTTAGAGTATATTATAATGTGTTTAATGATTGCAATTATTATTTTTTAGAGAAGATAACCTATTTAATTTAATGTATTTAGATTTGTTTAGGATTTATATGTGTTTTAAGTTTTTCTTTTCTTTTTCTGAAAAATTTTAATTAAGCCTGTACTCAGCTCTGGGAAGGTTGGGGGAGGGTTTGGGAGGTTTGGGGAGGTGGGGGAGGGTATGGGAGGGTGGGGGGGTTTGGGGAGGGGATTTGTTTTGTAAAATTTAAAAAACTTTCAATTAAAAAAAAAGTTAATTCATCTAACATTAGCTGTGTCTCATTTGGATTGTGCAGAATTGATGTAAATGTTGGGAGATAAGCTAGGACGCATTAGAATAGATATTCCTTGGGTTTATTATAATGGAAAGCTGGAATATATAGGGTAATTGCGGCATTATTTGCATAAAATGGTGTAAAATTGTTTAAGTGAACAAGTGAAATGAATAAATACATCTAATAGTTAACTTTTAATCAAAGTTACCACTGATACTTAGATTTAAAGCATCTTTTAATTATAATTCTAAGATTTTTTAAAACTCTATGCAAGATAATGTTCTTTCTATTACAAATACTTCAAACTTATTTTTTTAACTCTGTGAATAAATTGTAGTGTAAATACATTCAATATTTTTCCTTTTGCAGGCCAAAGATTACTAGATTGGACTTCAAAAAGAATAAACTAACACTAGTGGTAGTTGAAGATGATGAACAGGTAAAAGAAAAAATCTTCCTCACTTGGTCTTCTATGGAAAGTAATGTCTCTGAAATTAAACTTATTGTATTTTCCGGCGTATAAGACGACTGGGCGTATAAGACAACCCCCAACTTTTCCAGTTAAAATATAGAGTTTGGGCTATACTCACCGTATAAGACTACCCCTCTTCCAACGCACACCAAATAAAAATTAAAAAACATCAGATTTGATTTCAATATGGTAATTTTAATTCAAATGCTTATGACATGCAGGTACTTAGCAGAAAAACTGTCACTTATATTATCCTCTTGGTCTTCCATCCCACGAATGCTAGCCAGTTTCAGGCTAGTATTTACTGCAACTCTCTCGGCCCCCGCCCGTCTTTCTGACATATACACGTGCGCGCACACACACATGCCTCCTTTCCCTCCTCCCTCTCCCTCCAATCCTTCCACCCCATCCCGATTTCCAGCTCGGAAAGTGCAAAGCAGCGAGGAGAAGCGGGCGCGCGCGCGCACACACGCCTCCTTTCTCCCTCCAATCCTTCCCTCTCCCTCCAATCCTTCCCTCCCACCCCGATTTCCAGCTCAGAAAGCAGCGAGGAGAAGCGTGTGCACGCACACACACACACACATATACACACACACACGCCTCCTTTCTCTCCTCCCTCTCCCTCCAATCCTTCCCTCCCACCCTGATCTCCAGCTCGGAAAGTGCGAAGCAGCGAGGAGACAGATTGAGACCCACAGGCATTTACCAGCCTGTGACTTCAAGTTAGCAAAAAGCAGCTGCAAACCACACGCCTGCTAGAGGTGAGTCGCAGGGACGGATTGCTGAAACAAACAGCTTAGAGTTTAATTGCTCTCCCCACCGCCACTCTACCAATCAAGGACTCTTTTTGAGCGAGGGGGGGGAGAGAAAACTTGATGAGTAATATACCAAACCACATGTGTAAAGGAATAAAATAGAATACCCATATTTTCTGGCGTATAAGACGACCCCCAACTTTTAAGAAGGTTTTTGTGGCTTAGAAAGTCGTCTTATACACCGGAAAATACGGTATTTTTATTGTATCTCATTAAGGTTATGCCAAAGGTATGTACATTATAGTCACTAAATCAACGGAGTCAACACTGTAGGTTAGCTCTCTCTTCTGAATGGAGAGTTGAAAGTTCTTATATTTTTCTATATCTAAGGCTGATCTTATAGGAACCTTTTTCAAATAATGCCTCATTCTGAGGAGTTGGAGATTGATGATAAGAAAGATATTTTTGATGTTGTTCCCTTGCTCTTGGAACATTTTCCAAAGGAAGCATGTGTGTCATACACTCATCTCTATTTATTTTAAACCTTTCAGATTTTTAAAGTAATTTATTTGTTTCCTCCAGCGAGGTATTTAATTGTTATGCCTGTTGATGTTTTAATTTAATATTTGTTTTATTTTATATTAGGTCAGCATGTTAATCTGTTTCCTAATGTGCAAGTCTATTGTGTTTTATTGTTTAAGTGATGCTGCACAGTGCTTAAAGAGCTTATTTCATAAAGGACTTAATAATAAATGATTCTTTCAGTTTTCATAGAAGATGCAAAATAGCTCCATTTTGTCTGTATTGATCCATTACATTAAGCCATTAGCACTGGTGAATGGAGATGCAGAAACCCTGTATAGTGTACTGGTTAAGCTGTTGGACTTGGATTGGGGACATGCAGAAAGAAGTCCTCACTCAGGTAGTGTTTGCTGTCTTCTATTTGACCAGTCAGTCGGTCTCAGTCCAGCCTATCTCATAGAATTGCTAGTGGAATCCCATGGATGCTACTGTCAGCTCTCGAGAGAAAAAGCAGGATGTTAAAAGCAGATGTATTGATGCAGGCACCCTCTGACTTTTCTTCAGAAGAGTCCAGAAATGATTATTTTTCCTTTTTCTTTCTTATCTTATTAAAATTGTCTTCTGCATCGTGGGCAAAACTAGAATCCTATTGCTAAGCTTAACTATGGACAGCTCATGAACAGGTGATGATGCTACATTTGGAAGTATTTAAAATTGCTTTGTATTACTCCTTTATAAAATATTTATAGCTGTATGTACACCAGAGAACAAGCTCCTTATAACCAAACTGTACAATGGATCATTATCTATATTATAACTATATAGTATCTATCTATCATTATCTATATATGATATTATACTATATAAAATGCCAGTGAGTGGGCAAACACCGGTTGTTGCAGATGTGCACAAAACCATGTTCTGATACAGTAATGAAAGTCAATAAATGCCCATGGTAACAAAGCTATTAAACACTGCTACTCCAGTGTTTAAGTCAGCATGTTTTAATCAGGTTGTTTAAACTTCTCGGTAAAATACAAAAGCACTTCATTAGATTCTGTCAAACTGTCGTAGCATGGCATTTTTAAAACGATATGGGCGGTTATTCATTTTAAGTAACAAGTATTCTAGAATAAAATGTAACAGTTGCAATTATTTTTTGTTCATGCTGCCCAATAAAAAGGGAATCCATTATCTTTTCTGTTTATTTGTGTCAAAACAGCAAAAGGAAACCGTTGCACTGTCAGCCTTATAAAATATCAAGGGCAATGTTGTTCTTAAATCAGTAAATATTCACTTCACTCTTTTGTAATGTTAGTAAACATCTTCTTACTTGCTTTAATTGGATATGTGTTTGGAACAAACCATCTTTTATTTCAGTGTATGGTATTATTCTTGCCTTAAGCTGTGAAGTCAATGTTTATGTGCCTTCTATTCTACAACATTTCTCTGGTGTTCATCTTTCTTTAAGGGTAAAGAGCAGGAACACACTTTTGTCTTTAGGCTGGACCATCCAAAGGCCTGCAAACATTTGTGGAAGTGTGCCATTGAGCATCATGCTTTCTTCCGCCTCCGTGGACCGGTTCAAAAAGGCTCCAGTCGATCAAGCTTCATTCGGCTGGGATCCCGATTCAGATACAGGTTAGCCATATCTCACATTTCCTTGTTTCTCAAAGAATAGAAAGCAAATAAATGTGCTTGATTGTATAAGATCTTTGCCTTTCTGGAATTGAGCCATGAAGGTGGGAGGTCTAATCCCAACCAATTTCAATTTTTTTAAATGCAGGTATAATTTAAAAATCTGGACTACAGAAGTGGATTAACAGCAACAGCAATTAACTTGGGAGGCAGCGGTTTTGCTTTTTCTAGATGTTTTCAAGCAAAACCTGTATAGACATTTCCCAAGGATGCCATAAAGTGTTTTCCTGACTTTACTGGGAATTAATTAATTAAATTATCTTTAAACTAGTTAAGACAGGGGTGTCAAATTGCCGGCCCACAGGCCAGATGCATTATGCCAAAACCGTGCCCACCCTATTGCCGGCAATGAAAAAAAGTTGCGATACGTCGCGACATGTCACGTGACGTTGTGAGTTTGACACCCCTGAGTTGAGATGATTTAACCAAAGCCAAGCATATGCAATTGTTCTTGATTTTGCTACAAAACATACATTGTTTTTGGCCTGACCAGCATGGTGACAACTTTTTTCAAGCTAGCATAAACTTGAAAAAAAAGGTTTCTACTTTAATGAATAGGATGGGGGTTGTATGTTTGGTGCAAAGTCCAAAATACTTCTCCTGGATAATTTTAAAAGTCCTACTATTTAATAAACTTACGAAATCTTGCAGTTATCCACGGCTGGCTTAAATATACATGTAGAATAATTAGATGTTGTCTGTTGGAGCGACTTAGCTATATAAATCTTTTATCTTCTTATTCATTGTATCCTTCATGTAGTGGGAAAACAGAGTACCAAACTACAAAGACTAATAAAGCCAGAAGATCAGCATCTTTTGAGAGAAGACCTAGTAAACGATACTCAAGAAGGACACTACAAATGAGAGGTAATCAGACTTCTGTTTTTGATATAAAAATTTTCATTTACTTTCTTTACTCATGTTACCTCAGTAGAAATTATTACATTTTCTTTCAACTTCTGAATTCCATGCCAGTTTTGAAACAATTTGTTGGCTGGTTTAGATGGAAGAAACAAGACATATCCTTCTTTTGATTACTATCATAATTTTTGAATCATAGCTAGTAATACTAATGACAATACTGTTAACAGATATATTTTCAAACATTGATTTCAGATTGTATCTCCTTAGTTATTGGCAATAGATTGCCAATAATAGATTACATATAGGTAGTCCTTCACTTATGACCATAATTAGACCCAGAATCTTAGTTGTTGAGTGATGTGATCTTCTATGTGATGGCTTCACTCAACAACTGCAATCCCATTTCTCCCAATTAGGGTTGCTAAGCGACCACGCAGGTTACAGGCCAATGGAATGCTGGACTTGAGAAGTCCAATGCGCTAAAGGATTTCCCCTTTCTTCCATGCAGGGAGAGACAGGCCTCAAAACTGGCAAAAATGCTAGTGAATACCAACATTATCGAGTAAAAAATACTATATTTTTGTGGTATTTTATTTATATAGTTTTATCTTGTTAATATTATAAGCCTCTCAGAGTTACCCTATGATAAGATGGGTGGCCAGTAAATTTAATAACTAAATAAAAGCCATTGTGACTATGAAGAGTGGTTGAATGACCAGTCGTAAGTTGACAACCAGCTATAGTGCTATCCAGCAAATTATATATTGTCAGTTTTCCTGAACATTCACTTTTTAAAATATTTTTGAAGTATCATAATATTTTGCAACAGTTTAGTTTTTTTAAAAAAAATAACCTTTTGTTTAATACATTGTACAAACTCAATAACATTTTTGTTTTGAATTTTATTATAGCTAATCCTCACGCATCTGATGGAATTAGGTAAGACATTCAATTATGCATGTTAGTCTTCTTGTATAGTTAGTCTTACCCCATGACCCCATCCATCTATTTGGAACTCTTCATGTGGATTTATGAGGTTTTTTTTCTCTTAGCCTCTGTTACTTTTGGGGGGAATATTCCTAATGCTGATGGCCTTTCTGAAATCTGCCACCTCAAGAGCTTAGAAAACTGTAAGAATTTTAATGGAAAAAGCAAAATATTCAAGCATTTTAAACTCACGGGATTTTGAATGTTTGTGTATTAAAAATGAACATGTTGGATTTACAGAGGGAAAAAAATGGAAGTAGAACTCCCTGTGTTTATGTCCTGCATCTTGGTTTCCCATAAAATGCTCCTTAAAGTGCCTTGGAATCATAGGGTTGAAAAGAGCTATTCAATCCTCTATTCAGTGCAGAAATCCAATTGAACTATCTGCACTATCTCATTGAAAACTTCTAATCTTAACCTTCATCTTCTTGAATATGAGAGTAGATAAGTCTTCGGGTAACGGTTCAGTGTTTGAAAAATTAAACTGTCGATTATTTTTTTTCTTGCAGTCATTCAGGCAACATTTTCACTCAAAACAATGGACCACAGCAAGTAAGTCTGTCTAAGAATTTAACTTATTAGCCCCCCAAAATGGTTTTTGTATGCTATAGCTACTAAGGAAGTAACACGTCTTTAGAAGTTTAATTTAAAATAAACATTTGTAGACTGAAATAGTTTTTTCTTCATATATTTTCTTGGACAAGGAAGAGAGCTTTTGCTCTAAATGATAAAGGGAAAACTACTGCTAAGAGCCATGGTGGCGCAGTGGTTAGAATGCAATATTGCAGGCTAACTCTGCATTCCAGGAGTTCAATCCTGACCAGCTCAAGATTGATTCAGCCGTCCATCCTTCCGAGATCGGTAAAATGTGCATCCAGATTGTTGGGGGCAACATGCTGACTCTATAAACTGCTTAGAGAGGGCTGTAAAGCACTGTTAAGCGGTATATAAGTCTAAGTGCTATGGCTGTTGCTACTGCTAAATATCTTTAAATGTTACTGAAGTAGGACAAATGTTGTGTCCTTCAAGTATTGAATGCTCTGAGATACAATACTCATTCTTGGAAAATTCATTCCTTTAGTCTGTATAAAGAGTGTGCTTTTTAAAGCAGGGTGAAATTTCAATTTAATAAAGCCCATTTACTGGATTCTGTAGGCAAACTTTCCATACGGAGATCACACTCCCAAATTATGACACACATCTATGGCATGAAAAACAAAATTGTAGCAGAAAGTACTAAAACCCTTATTAAATTCATTTTATTCACAAAGAGTGTCCTTTTTTATGCCACAAAGAAGAGGGTGTCAAGCTATTTTCCAAGGCGCCTGAAGGCAGGACAAGAAGCAACGGGTGGAAACTAACCAAAGAGAGAAGCAACCTAGAACTAAGGAGAAACTTCCTGACAATTAGAACAATTAACCAGTGGAACAACCTGCCTCTAGAAGCGGTGAATGCTCCAACACTGGAAGTTTTCAAGAAGAGACTGGACAGCCATTTGTCCGAAATAGTATAGGGTTTCCTGCCTGAGCAGGGGGTTGGACTAGATGACCTCCAAGGTCCCTTCCAACTTTACTATTGTTGTTGTTGTTGTTGTTGTTATGCAAGTGATGCTGATTATACCTTTTGCAATAATGTATGTATTTTCAGACAGAATGGATACCTTCCTCATCCTGAATGGTCCATTAAATCAAGGTTATGTTGTAAAGTCAGCTAACTGAAACATTTTTATCTTTTGTTTTTCCAGAAATGGAGTGCATTGTCCTCTGTAGCAGCAGTTCCTTCTGGTTCAGTTTTAGTTGAAATAGAAAATCTTCCCCGGAATTCTGGAACAAGCCAACAGGATAAGAAATGGTATGTTACTCTGATTTCTCATCTTGTTCTGTATTGGGAAAGAACAGTTATTGCTGGTCACTTCAGATATCTTTTGCATGATTGATCTTGGACACTGCTGATACTGTGTCATCAAAAAATAAAATTGAGGATTGAGTTTGGCAGCAGGCCAGCACTCATGATAAATGTTCTTGCTGCAGAGAATATTGAAGGAAATAAAGCATTTGCACAGTGTCATCCAAGGGAATATTCACAACAGTGAGTGCTCAAGCAATGTATGTAGAAAGTCACGTTTTTCATCCTATCTTGTTTTCATTGTAAAATACTATAAAACTAGCTAACTGATCAGTAGCGTAGGTTCCACAGTGATCAAGAAGAATTTGCACACAGTAGCAACTGCAAATAAAAGCTTGAGTTGGGCTTAAATTACTATTTTTTGGTGGTTCAATTCTTAGTGGTCCATTCTGTTTCAAGAGAACGAACTTTCTTTTGACTTCTTGATTTAAAGTTATTTTAAGAGGTTCTGTTCTGTTTATGATTAGAATTTGACTTAGTCTTGTTTTAAACCCCTTGCAGATACATTGAAATACACTTTTAAATAATGTGGGATACTAAATGCTAAATCACAGAAAATTGTTTAATGCAAATCCAGCAATTCTGTCTGTTGAATTCAACATGGTCAGGACCTTAATTTTATATCTGAAGCTGTTTTTTGCAGCTGCAATCCAAAGCTTAATCAATAAGATGCTTTCTCTTTTCTTTTTGCCCTTGATTTATCCAGTGTCTGAAATTGGAGGTTTTTCTCTAAGATCTTGATCAATCAGTTTCTTCCTTCCCATGGTGGTGGTTTAAGGTGGTGGTATTTATATTTATTTTTATTCTCATTTGTCTTACTGGTATGATAGCCTGTCGTCTGTAAGCTCAATATAACTGCTATGCTTATGTTTATTGATCCTTGCCTGTGTTTTTAAGACTCCAGCTCCAAACAGTTCTAGCCATGCTTTTATAATTTTGTGCAGTCTCAAGTTCATAACATTTCTGAGAGAAATAAGAGTGTGGTTAAAAACCTGCATACTTGGATTTCTGCTATGAATTGGGACTTTCAGTAAAGTTCGTTTTGCTTCTGTCTCTCTTTTTCTCTCCCACATACCTGTATTGTATATAGAGAATGTATGGGGGGGTGCATTTATGTGTATGCATGTATTTCTGTGTGTACATACACCCCCCATACATTCTCTATCTGACTACAACATGAATATACTTTCACTTATTGTTTCCTTCCTTATCTGTTAATGTGTCAACAAGCCAGGGTCAGTAGTGACTTCCCATTCTGAATTGCTGCAAAAGAGTATATGTGGTATGCTTACGGTTTGCACATTATTACTTCCCTGCCTGTAGAAAACCTAGGTTTTGAAAATGAGCTTCGCAAGTTGCAGTGGGAGTCTCAGATGATCTCTCTAGACTTTATGATTAAAAGAGCAGCCTAACGCAGAGGTCCCCAACCTTTTGGGCACCAGGGACCAGTTACGTGGAGAGAGATTTTTCCGTGGACCGGAGGGGGTGTGATTTTGTGTGCTGCCTGCATCCTGCAGATGGGGCTTCACTTGTTTGTACGCCCGGTTGCTGGCATGCCACGGCCCGGTACCAGTCCACAGCCCGGGGGTTGGGGACCCCTGTCCTAACTATAACAGGCCTATACTTCACACATAAAACATTAGCTCTGTTTTCCCGACTTTGTTGACCCTGGAAGTTTGAGTTTTTTTCTAAAGTATAGATGAAATTTGTGTTCAAAAGGTGTTGCTGCTGTAGGAGGCCAGTGTACAAAGTGCAAAATGATCATTACCTTGATAGAAATGCATCCCCTCCTTCAAGATGGCATGCTGAAGAGACAGGCGATTTTTTTTCCCTCCCACCAACGAATAGCTGGTTTTGCCACCAAAGCTGATAGAAAAAAGCATGCCATTCTTTTATTAATGGAGATAATGGATTAACTTATCATAGGCATGCATTTTAATCAATTTATGTGGTAGATGTGATCATTCTAACAGGCTGGGTTGTTGTGTTCAGTGGAGGAAGGGAAAGCAGTAAAGATACGTTTGGAGCTGTACAGTCAGTCGGGTGTGCTGAGTTGCAGAGTTTGGAATGAGATTAAGCAGATTGTGTTGACGGAATGGATGTCTGCTTGGTGGAGAATGACCTGAATGTCTTGGTGCTGTTTACAAGGGCTTTCTCACATCAGCTTCTTTCCTGCCTCTTTTAATTGGGCCGTTACCATGATTTGGCTTTGGGTTTGATCCTGCCACTCCTTTATGATCAGTCTTCTTTAGAGAATATTTTCCAAACGCAGTGCTACAAAGACTATAATACTTTAAACCATTTTAATTGGATAAATATCAGTTTATTAAGGGAATGGTTCTTTGTATTGCTAGAATCTTGAAAGTATGCTCCACATGTCCAGCATTTGAACTAAAATGCTGCAGACCTGTTAAAATGTGTTATTGCATTACCATTCAGATAGTTCCCATGAAAATTTGTTTTTCTATTCTCAGCAAAGGACATGGCATTGTACGTACATTTCATGCTACCCACTTTTTGAGGGTTACTTTGTTTTCCGAAGAAACAGCTGAAAACTGTCCCAGTCTTTCTCTTCTAAATTCCACACTTAAATGTGGCATATTCTACTGTTTTGGTGATAAAAGAAACCATTGGAGTTATATAGGAACCGACAAGATAGAAAGTTAGCAAAAGAGTTGTCTGTACTTCTGCCCATGCCATTTATTCTGATGGAGATCCAGAATGATATTTATCTGAAGTCTAAGGAGAATACATACACTCATTTTTGAATATCTCTCAACCTATTTTATTTACCTTTAAGAAAACCTTGGACTGCTGACAGCAGTTGTATCATTTCAAAACACAGTTGATGTTTTATTAACAGTCACGATCATCAACTTCTCATAAAATAAATGTTCTCTTAGTGACACATGAATTAATATGATAAAGAACCAGATCCTTAACATAAAGAAAACAAGTGTGAACTTGATTAAAATTGTTTCTAAAGAAGACTGCTTCTAGATACCTATGCATTTGCCTTAACTTTCTGCATGCTTTTTAATCTATATTATTTTTATGGGCATAGTCTAGTTTTATGCTCACTGTGATATAACTTAGGTTTTCTGAATTTAACCTTACTAATACTTGGCTTTAATTAAATCCCTCATTTTTATGAAAAACAGCATCAGTGACAATCCAGCATATTTAGCATACTTACATTTGAACCTCTTCCTTCCACTATAGAAAAATAATTTGAAATATTTTCCCAATCCATAACAGAACTAAGATTGTAGGTGACTAATATATAATTATGGCTAAATCTAATACAAACTCAAAATTTGTAATTGAGAAATTACAAATGTTGCCTGGCTTACACAGAATAATTAGCCATAAACTTAGTCTGCAAATCTTGTTATAAAAGTCTAATTTTATACATTATAGTAAAACAAAATAAACCATTCAGGCTTAGCAGACTATATAATAATCATTTCTTTGCAACCCTAATTAATTTTTCTGCTTCCTTTGAGTACCCTTAACCAGTGGTCAAAATTTGGGAATATTTGGGAACTTAGGGATTTTGACAGTGTTATGTATCTTTCCCAACATTACTAGAATAGTGTCCTTTCCAAGAATAGTTATCATAGTTTGTATTTTTAGTATCAAAACATTCATTTATCAGACTAAGTAAATGAAAATAAAAATAATTTACCCAAGAACATAATTTTCTCAAAACAAAGGTAGGGGTTAAACACCAAAATTTACAGGTAGTCCTTGCTTAGCAACCGCTGTTGGGACCAGCAACTAGGTTGTTATGCAAGGGAAGCACTAAGTGAAATCACAACAATGTTGTGATCTTACTTCAGCTTTCCTGTATTTTGCAGTCTTGGTGATAACTCCAAAGAACTCACACTAAACATAGCAAAGCAAACAAGATGTTTAAACCCCCACAAGGCAGATTTACATGTCAACTAGAGCATACTGAATTCCAGTAGACATTCTACAGCAGTGATCCCCAAACATTTGGGCAGCAGGGATTGGTTCTATGGAGGGAAGTTCTTCTGCAGACCGAGGTGGGTGGGTGAGGGGTGGGCATGGTTTTGCACACTGCCTGAATCCCACAGATGCATAGATGGGGCATTGCTCACTTGCGCGCCTGGTTTCTGGCAGGCTGTGTCTCAGTACCAGGCTATGGCCCGGACGTTGGAGACCCTGTCCTACAGGATGCGCAACCATTTATTTTCAAGAGTACATGTGAGGTTTCAACTTAATTTTGGATTAAAATTTTGTATCCTCATTTGCTAATGAAGTTATAATTGAAAAATCCAGAATTTCAAAAAGTCTGGTGAATGATAGGAAAGATCTCTCTTAGTTATCAAAATAGGCACCTCAGATTTAAACATTCAGTTCATTTTATAAAATGTTAGTGGTTAGGACCCCATAAAACACTTAGCTTTAAAATATGATTTGCTAATTTAGAAAATTGTATGACTTAAAATTGAAAACATAAAAACATTATACACACAAACATACACACACACACACACGTGTATATATATATATATATATATATATATATATATATATATATATATATATATATATATATATATATATATAACTTAAAAGTCCATTTGATCATATGATAATACTAAAGGTCTCTTAAGGATTCATGCACTGGATAATCGCCTTGTTTCTAGAGAAGTCCTCATTCTGAACATTACAGAATGCTCAATATAGCTTGGCAGAGTTACTCCAATTAAGTTTCTCATGCAAATATCAAGTTACAAAAGAGAAGAGTAAATTGGAAGCTGAAGAAAAGCTCCCAATCCTGCTTGGTTTTGATCTGAATGCCATTAGCGTAGCTAATCATACCCTCCAAATCCATTAATCAGTAAAAACTGGCACATCTTCAACAGCTTTGTGCTTTAAAGTACATTAAAGTTACTTTTACCAGGCAATAAGGCTTA